TTTAGGTGACCAATCTTGAATTTTTTTTCATGCTCTGTAGAAAATTAACTTGTTTTATTTCCAATGAATACTATTTTCTTATATGTTTGTTAGTTTATTAAAGCATTTTATCTAATGAAAAATATTTTAATTGGATGTAAATTATCACTTTATTTTTTCACAACAGATGCTGTGTGAATTACATGAACTTATATGAATTTCTGAGCTACTCATAAGTATTCAGAAAACTGCTAAAACCTGTTAACTGAATAGAAAATAAGATATTTTCTATCCTCTTTATGGACTAAACCTTGCTTATGTAAAAATTGTTAGGCTTTTTTTCCCCCTGAAACTTACTAATGTATAAGCAAGTGTTTCCTCATTCGTACACCTATAGTATATATGCTTATACCTATGCTAAGTATAGCCCAAAGTGATATCTTCTTGAACTTACATTACAAAATGGCTGAACACTACCTGTCATGTATTTTATGTTAAAAGAAAAAAACCTTTGCTCAACACTGCTGTCACTGATAGACCATCATAAGTCTTTCCTTGGAGTATTTCTGGCTCAATTCCAGTTATTACTAGTTAATTTGCAGAAAAAAACAATACATTTCTTTGAAAACTCAACAGTAAAAATTTCAGCAAATCATATTTTTACAATTTCCAGAGAGAAGGGAATATTTTTAAAATAGTCCTTAAATTGGGATAGCACAAACAGCAAGTTGTCTAGTGTGGTGCCACAAAAATGGAACTCGGCAGACAAACTATCATCTCATCTATTTGAAACACAAACCAAGTTTCAGTTTTACACACCGTCTTTTCAAAATGTATGTTGTGGTGTATATGCCATTAAAATTGGTCTTATGAGGGCTTTTGTTTGTATGTAGAGAGAATAGAGGCAATGAGGTGGGGGAAGAAGGACCTGAATTTAGGTGAGGATGAATTTCATGAAGCAGTAGGTGTTCATCAGTGTGTGTCTTACAGTGTTCAGTGTTTTTTTTATAGAATGTTTCCCCCTCCAAAAAAAAAAAAAATCTAGTGGGTGTTCAGTGGTTTCTTTTGTTGTTCAATCTGTTAATTAGAATTTTGCCACAAATCTTCATGAAGAACTAAGTATTATAGAAAGGTCTTATTTTAAAATTTAGAAAATATGAATGCCAAAATCAAATAATTATAAACCTGAGTGAAAAACTATCAAAATACTTTACATGTTTGAAAATAAAAAGCACAGCACCATTTAATAACAGAAAGCTAGCATTAGGGACATGTCCAGGATCTGATTTGGGAAGGAAGCAGGATCAAAGCAGCAGAGCTCTGTATGGATAGTAGATAAAATGCCATATTTACATTTTCATTTTGACCTGCAGTGAGAGAGTAAATTATAGCTCTAACTCAGAGTTTTCCAAATCCAGGATAAATGGGTAGAGATCAAGGAACTGCTTCATCTCTAATATACTAAACCTAAATAAATAAATAATAAATAAATAAATAAATAAATAAATAAATAAATAAAAAAGAAAAGAAAGAAAAAGAAAAAGAAAAAAAAAAAGGAAGAAAAGAGATTAGAGGGAGAGACCCGGGAGTAGAAACAGTATCAATCCAACCCTTCCTAAATATGACTTAAGCTACAAGTGTAAGGCATTTCTTATACATTTTTTTTTTTTTGCTCTATGTTTTCTTTGGTAATTCTTTTCAGTTCGCTGTATCAAAATCTTGATGAAGAATTATGAACAATACATCTTCTTTATATTTTAAATTAATTTCATAGGAGCCAAGTACTTACAGTCAGTGCATTTGAAAATAATCCCTAAGTTAGAGACGCAGCACATTGCACTCTGGGAAGCAACATAACATAATGGAATAATACAGATGCTAAAATCAAAAGACTTAATTTATAAATTCTTACTCCATTTCTTACCAGGTATATGGCCCTTTCAAATTACCTACCTCCCTGAGCCTCAGCCTCCTCCTCTGTAACAAGGAGATCATAATTGCTTCATCGTGGACTGATCATGAACATTAAACATGATAATATATGTAAAGCACCCAAAAGAGGTTTAGACCCATTGTGGGTGTTCGGAAAATTTGAAGTCCCGCATCCTTGCCTACCTCATCCCATAATCACTTTGATCACCAGAAAAATGATTGCTCAGAAATTTCCTGGAACAGTGAGAAATTCTTTGGGATATTTTTCATTCTGAAGTCAACAGTCTTCTTAATAAAGACTGTGATCAATGCAAAGTGGATTTTCATATTTAAAAGATGTATGTGGGTAGCTCTGGTGGGGAGTTTTCTTTTTAAAAATCCCCTACTGAGAGCCTTAATTATCATGAGTTATGAGTATACTAAAAAGGTATCAAAATTATTATTTTGTTAACAGATCCCCTTAATTCATGTATATACAATCCCAATCCATGATTCACAGAACAACCTGATCATGGAACATGATTCATTCAAATAATACTTAGAGTTGTGTTATTGTCAGAGTCAAATAAATGTTATAAACTCATAGACTGTCTTGTGGTACATATAGCATAGATGGAACTGACAACTAGTAAAACTTGTGCAAAACCACTACTTCACAGAAAAAATGATATTCTGCAAAGGGAAAAGCTTTTTGAAAAAATTTTAGTGTACTATAATATTTCATTAACTTAATTATAATGCTTCAAAACTTAAAAAAAATCTGTAGCCTAAGAAAAAGATTTTATTTCTGATCAGTAATATAAATAATATAATTTGTCTTTGCTTAGAAATTTGTGGAAGTCCTCATGGCCTTCTACCAAGTAAGTCCATAAGTGCGGAGTTTTATTGTAGTAAGTCTGGAGAAAGAGTATAAATGAAATATAATGGTGTCACTTGTCATAATTTAAAAATTAATGTCTATTTTTAACTGATTACAATGTCTTTTTTTACTTTATATGAGCATGTATACACAGACACACACACATTGATTCTATGCATTTAACTAATAGCACAGAAATACCACCCAAGCTGTTGTCTTGGAGTAATCTCACAAATAAACAGAAATAGAGTAGGACTGCTTAAGAACTGCATGTGTTCTACTTTACCTATATTACAAAGGGCCCAAGTATTTTTTGGAGTCTAGAAATACCTAATGGAACTGATATTACTTAGCAAAGATTCCATAATGCCAACATCTAACCTTGGTTTCCACGAAACAGTTTAAATTACTATGGAAACAAAAGCACAAATACTTTGCCAGAATCTGCTGTGTGAAGTAGCAATAATCACTTTCTCTTATTGTCAGACAAGAGAATATCATATAAGTAAAGGAGAGAGAAACAGACTATAGGGGGAAAAGTAGGGTGTGACGTGTACTACAAAAGGAAAAGGCTAATAAAAAGGAAAATGAATGAGGTCTGGCATTCATTCTTATGAATATTATTTCATAAAATTTTGGTTTGATTTACAAGAAAACAAGTTAAATCATTTCTGGCTAGTTCAGGCAATGAAACCGTTCATCTGGATTGGTCCTAGTGAGCATTTATGTTTCTCTCTGAAGAACATAGCTTGACTCTAAATTCACGATTCTGCACTTTATCTCTAGCCAGAACAGGAACAGTCTATCTTATTCTAGTGAAGAGAGTTGAAGCATTATCTTCATTTATAGCCTCTCATTCTGTGAAGAGATAAAGATTGATGTTCTTTTTTATTTTTTTAACATGTGTATTTATGTATTTATAATTGAAACTTAAATTTACCCGGTAGTGTATGTCCAATATATTTCAACAAAGGATGGTATTATTTAAATTTGTACAAATTACACTGTGAGCATAATCAGGATAGTCTACCTTAGCCTGGGATAGCATCTCCAAAATTGCAGTAGATTAGCACAACAGACATGTGCTTCTTGCTCATCCCAGGACACCTGGGAACTCTGTTCTACATCTTCTCACACCAGGCAGATGAAGTTTCTATCACCTGGAAAGTTACTGGTTGCCCTGGCAGTAGAAGGGAACAGCAAATTGCACTCTTCTTTGAAAGGCTCCATCTTGAAATGACACCTGTCACTTCTTCTCACATTTCATTAACCAAAGAAAGTCATAAGGACATAAATGTGTTTCATGCCATGAGGACAGGGAAATGCAATTTTACCATGTGACCAAAAGAAGAGATACTAGTGGCCAATCACATTTAGACTAACCAGTGGGAAGGCTGAGCAATCAATATTTTCTGTTTTCATTGTTGTTAATAACCCTCTCATCATGATTATGTGGAAACCCACGTTGATTAACGTGTTCAAAACTATTGAATAGTTTATCCTTTATAATTGTGTGTCAGACATACAAAAAAATAGTCCCCCACTTGCAAGGATCCTTTTCCCTGAAATGTTTTTTCCACAAAAGAACAGCCACCAGAAAATTTTGGGACTTGTAAAAACTTAATTATCACAATAATGATCCTAGTGTCACAGTGTATAAGTCTCAGTATACTCGTTAAATCTGTGCTATGGATACCATCTTCTTCATTTCTTTTATATGCTTTTTTTGTTTCTGAATTGAAAGTCAGGGCTCCTGTTTTATCCAAAAATCTCTGGGTCAACGTTGCCATTATGGCTCCAGTTGTTATTGCTGTGCTGTTGCCAAGGCAGCCAAAATACAGACCTGGGTTCAAAGTAGTTGCTGGGTGTGTAAGAGAGTAGTCACTTCCACTTTCATGAATACAGCTGCTCTGAATGTGACAAATACCATTATCATCATGGGTCTTATTACCTCCAGCCACAAGGTGCTATCTGAACAAATGCTGGGTTTTCACTGCCAGACTCTTGAATATGTCACATTTTTCTTTGGATCTTTGGGTTATTGTAACAGCTGTTTGTAAACATTGTAAAGCCTACATTAGGTACCGAATGAGTAAGAATATTTTGACCCAAATGTCTGCCCTCTGAACTATTGTAAGGAATGCAGTATGTCTGCTGACACTTAAAGCAGTAGATTTAAATAGCAACCGGGATCAACTTCCAGCTGAATAAGTCAATAGGCATTTTCAGTTTCGGACTCCATCTGGGTCAGTTTTCTTTCATCAGCTGGCCTGAGAACATCCGAGGGTATTCAGACCATACTGAAAAAAAGAAAAGGAGGGGAATAGCAAGTAGGTATTTCCACCAAGATTTTGTCTGGGCAGTACTTTCCCTAAAAGTCTAATATATGCTCTTCCATAGTTTAGGTTACCAGTGCTTGGTGAAAAGCATTTCTTTTCTTTAGAAACAGGGACACGAGCAGCTTTAGAATTTGTCATGCTCTGATCTCTTTCGTTCTGTAAATACCCCATGCTATTTTATGTAGTGGTAATGAGTTAGATATTTCTAGTGCTTGCATGGTAAGCAGTCATGAGGGTTGTTGTAATAAATAAATAGTAAGAGCACATTGCTCTGATAATAGCAACTTTCATTGAAGGATGTGAATGTGCCTTGCAAAAGAGTGATACAGAATCCTTAGAAAGGCTTTTATTACAAGAAATGTAATACAACAATTTTTAAATGAAACAGGCAGAGTGGAGAGAGAATCTCTGACCTTGTGTTGCTAGTGTCAGTTGTCATTGTGGACACCTAGGCTCTCAAACCAAGCAGTTGAGAAGCTAAGAATCATTCTTGTAAGAAAATGCATTTATCACGCATTGAATATTATGAGAAACGTTGTCCTCGAGATTCCTCGATTTTATAGATACCATACATCTTCCCACAAATTATATTACATAGTCACCTTTGGAAGTAGCCAAGTGATGTATATCCGGTTGAAATTTGACTTAGGATTAAAAATAAGACACTTAAAATAATAGTCTTATTCTTTTATCTGCTCTTCACAGGATAATCGGATATATCGCAGCCATGATCCTCAAAAATTAAAAAAAGTTTTCCAACCATCTTGCTTAAATACAGGAAACTGAGGTGAGTATGTGTGTATATACATAAACAACGCTACCAGAGGTATAATTCATGTAGTTATCTCTAAAATAAGTACTTTGTTAAACAAAATTTATCTTATTTTAAAAATATTCGGTCATAGTTAAAGGTAGAATTAAATGCAGAACTACCAAGATAAGTAACTTAGTGCGTGTATGCTGGTGACAGGAAAAAGTTAGACAGACTGAGATTTAAAGTCACTATGGATAATCAAGAATTGACTAAACACGAGACATAGCATTTCATGTAAAAGATGCAGGGGAGTCCTTTAATGCGTTCTTTTCCTGTGATGGTTGAACAAACTGAGGTTTGTTCTAGTCTCAACATACACAGAATCTCAAAATGAAACAGGCAAAGTTGTGTTCTGCTCTTTGATAGTGTGATGATGTTTGTGAGGCTTCTCACTTTGTTCACATGTTGCCTTGAAATAAAGAAGGCTCTTTCATTTGAACATGTGTCCTGAATTTCTTTATAAAATTAAAATTGAAAATGGAGACTAGGAATAGTGCCTGAGATCTCTTACATCTGTTTTGTCATGGAAATTCTTTGTCGAGGCTGGCCCTATGTTAAGTGGTGGGAAAGAGTAAATTTGTGTTTTATTATCTTCTGCATCTCTCTCTTTTTTTTATTCTAGTATATATTCAAGTATATTTTCCTGGATTGTATTCCTACTCCAAAGCCCCTTGAAGCCCACAACTTAGTGCCCCTAAGAATGTAGGAATTTTAGAAAGTGTCCTATCTATATATATTTTGCTCATTCTCATCTATTGCTACAATTCTCTAGATTAGAGTTCTGAGTGCAGCGGACTATAATGTAATGATATCAATATATTGCACATATATTGCACAAATGTGTGATAAACTAAATTGCACATTCTGTATAAGCAAACATCTATTCTGTCAAGAGATTTATCTTGTTCAGAGAATTATCTATAGAAACAATGTCATAAATGGTTGCTGTGTTTCCAAATTCACAGAAAACAAAAAACAAAATCTTGAACTTATATTAAATACCCCTGCTCCCCTCCTGGCTGCCCCTTCTCCTGGTCAGAAATGTGAGTCTCCTAGAATAGGTGATCTCACCTTCATTGGTAGAAAACAATCTGAGAGTACTAATTCCCACTCTTTCATGAAAGCGTGAATGACTTTTAATCCCTTAAACTCCCAAAGGTTGAGTGGTTAGAATAGTTGTTACCGAAATAAATCATGTATTTATAGAAACTTAATATAACAGGGAAACTACAGTGAAAAATGTTCAGATGATATGTAAGGACTTATTTTTTTAGCTGACACATGGGCAAATCATACCAGCCCAGACTTTTGCCTCTGGACCTTTTAGTCTACAATGCTCATGATTTGGGGACCTTTTTCAACTTCTTGCACCATAGAATCTTTGAAAAGTCCCATTCATCTACATTGTGGTTCCCATTTCAGCAGCTGCAAGGGACTAGTGTGTGGGAAAAGTGTGACAGGAAAGAAGGTATTGTGTGCATTGATTTGAGGTAAATCAGAAACATTGGGTATTTGCATTCGACCAGGGACTTTCTGGGGATAGTGACTTAACTGGAACTCTGAGGCATTCAGGCTCCATGGAAGGCTGTTGAGAAAATATCGAAGTCCCTCAAATCACACTATTTGTGTGGCCTTTTGTATTCTTTATTTGTAATTCAAATACTCATTTTCGCTAATTTCTAAGTGAAATCGTAATTTATAAGTCATAAGCCTGGCTTGCAAGCCATGGTACCAGCGATGACTAACCCTGTGTTCTTAGAAAAATCACTTCATCTCTTTGAGTCTCTGTTCTTTCAAGGGTCGAATGAGATTGTGATTCTAGCTGTCCCTTAAAAGGTGGTGGAGACACAGTGGACTATTAGATGCAAGCATGCTTAGACAAATTTAGGAGCATTATGTAAGTTTAACTCCTTTAATTAAGTACTGTAAGATGGAACAAAATGCAACCTTAAAATATTTTTTCTCTTCCTCTATATTAGAACTAATTTAGCATAGAAACGAAGTTCATTATTTAGGGAAATTAAAATGTCACTATTTTCTTGAAACTGAAATTAACTGCAGTTTCAGATTTTATAAGGTAATTGTTGGAATACCTATATACAAATGCTTATTTCCTGACTTTTAGAATGCCAGGAAACTCATTATACTTCCAAGGATCCTTTAACACTCGAGACAACGTAGTTTTATCTCCCTTTTATGGTCTGTGCCTTTTTCTTTTATTCGTGGGGTACCAAGTTTTATTCTAGGTACAGATTCGAAGATATTTGAACATATGTGATAAACTAAAATTAAACTAAACTAAAATTAAACTAAAACTGAACTAAAATTAAAAATAGAGTTTTAATTTTATATCATACAAAGCATTTATTAGAGTGCATGATTTTATTTTGGAATCCAAGAAACAGCCTTTGGTAACTTAAAGATGTAATTGAGGAAATATTTCAGAGGATTGGGTCCTGTGTTTAACAGATTGAAATGGAGACAAGAAAGAGTAAAGCTTCCTATATTATTGTCACTGAGGTCCATTTATACCCACAGTGCATGAAGCATTAGAAAATATAAGTGAAAATGCAGTATAGTCAGCCAGACATTCCTACGTTACCCAAAAAGATGATCTAGGGCAAAACCAAACACTGTATGACTCATTTCCATAGCCTGCCATTGCACAGACAGGACTATGGCTTGTATCATAGTATATGCCTAATTGGTAGTTCCATTTGATTAAAATCGGAAATAATTGCAACCTATCAATACTAATAATCCAAAGTATTTTATAATGGACCTTATTCTTTCCAGACTCGAAAACACCATACCATATACCAAATATAAAATATAAAACCAATTAGGAACAGGTTTTAAATATATCTTTATAATATATGTTTATTATCAATATTATATATATTGATGCATACATTTATAAATACATATAAGCATATGTATATATAATTAACAATCTTAAACATTCTCAGTATTATGCTATCACAAAGTCAGGTTTTTTTTTCTGGATTTATGTTAATATTGTACTTTAAAATTATTCTTATCCTCTTTATCTGTGGAGGGCTCTGGTAATTCTATAAAATATCCACACACTTAACATAGTCTGATTTATTGAACAATAAAGTGTCTTGAGTGCCCAAACCAGATTCTTGGGAATTTAGCAGACTTAGGCCACCTATGAATCAGTACATTGTTCACAGCTTCGGCAGAAAGCAAATTGGACCAGGTGGGCTCCATTATGTCCCTTGATAAATAACTTTGCCCAGGGAGTCAGAGAAGAGTATCTACTAACCTCTAAAGTAAGAATAATGAAGGTGAAAGGGTAAGTCAGAAATGTGGGTGTCAGCTTGACTCCTGACTCTCCCTTACCTCTAATCCACGCCAAGTCTATCTCTTAAACTTCAGTTATATTCCTGAGTTCCTTTACCACATCCTCTCCAGTCACCATCATTTATCCCCTGAATCATTGAAACAGTTTCCTAAGTGGTTTCTTATAGTTTAGCTCCCCTTACAGCATTAGTTTCCCATACTGCACTGAATATAATCATCCAAAAATTCAAATAATATCAACTCTCTCCCCTACTGAAAAGTCTTCTACCACTTTCCATAGTCTTAAGGACAAATGGATCGGTTTGTTCATGTTTCTCTTTTATATGGTTGGTTTTCCTTCACCTTTTCAAGATTTTTGGATGTGTAGTCACACTTACAAATGATGGACTATATTTAATAGTAAAAGTAACTGGTACATATTCTGTTTGCTCTCATTCAGGACTCTTTCCCCATGAGGCCTCTCACCTCAGTGAGAAGGCTGACTGAAGGTTCCGCATAAGTAGGGGAAGTCAGGGGAATGTTTTGACAGGCAGTCTCTTTGAAGTACCCCTGGGAAAAAAGCAGGTTACAGAACAGGAAGCTCCTCTAGGCCTAGTATACTCTGCTACAAAGAGGGAGTGCTTTCTGACTGGCACTTGAAACCTATTGTTTTCTGTACTGTGTGGCAGTCTAGAGGAGTGTTGAGGTCTACTTGACTTTTCTCTCATACAGCAGCATCTTCACAAGATAACTTTCTTTGGGACATTACCCACATGCCCACTTGATTTGTAGAACAGCTCTTGGGCTTTTGCTGAAGACCTTTGCTATCAAACCATAGCTCTATTTACACCTGTATAGGGGGAAGAGTTCAACTTTCCAGGTTGTTTGGAAAGTACATTACTAAATAATGACCTAGGCTTGACCCTTGGCCTATCTCTGACCCCTGTTTTTGTTGATTCACTTTGGGGGTCTTTTGTCACTTTTGATAAATTTTATCTTTCATTTTTCTACCAGTCATATTTAATTTGTTGCTGTCTTCCCAAAATGTTTATAAAATTTTTATTCACTGATGATACACATTTATTGCCCATTCCTTTTAATTTATCATTTCTATCCAGAGAGACTTTGAGAGAAAGAAAATACAGACAAGTTTGAATTCAGTAGATCATTTTGAACTAGAAGATTAAGTTTACCTTTAATTTTTTTGGAAAAATAGTTTGGTTAAGTTAATAATTATATCTAGGAGAACTCACTGTTTTAAATACCTTTAAGAATTTCACAACGTATGGGTCCATTGATGGATAAACGGATAAAGAAGTTGTGGTACACATATACAATGGATTGTTATTCAGCCATTTACAATAATGTGGATGGACCTTAAGGAAATTATGCTCAATGAAATAAGGTAGAGACCAATACTACATAATCTCACAGAGTATGTGGAATTTAAAAACAAAACAAAACAGAACAGCCTCAAAGAAAAAAGATCAGATTTGTGGTTACCAGAGGCTGGAGGATAGAAGGGGGAATTGGATAAAGGTGGTAAAAGGTACAAACTTCCAGTTTTAAGATACATATGTACTAGGGATGTTATGTGGAATATGATGACTATAGTTAACACTGCTGTATGGTATATTGCAAACTGTTAACAGAGTAAATTCTAGGAG